CACAAGAATGATATAGGCTGGTGTGTTTATCCCCCCCCCCCGAACAAAACGTATACTGAGAAGTGTACATCCAATAGCATAAGGTTGACCCGCCTGTGGTATCTGTCTGTGGGCAGCCGAGGCAAAAGTATGAGGAATACGGGAATTCTATATTCCCCCCAAAAAGCCCAGACTTTGTGTCACAGACTGCAAACGTCAAGGGATAAAAATTTGAAGAATACAAAATTCCCTTGAGTATTATTTTGTACTGTCTACAAGGTGTTTGATCTAAGTGACCTGTTTAACTTGGAAAAAATTGCTGAGAAAGGCTGTTGGCTTGTCTTCAGATCCACCACGTTCCTGAAACTTGAGGGAGGAGTTTTTAGCAGTGGTGAAACAATTGGACGGAGATAAAGGTTTTCCATTCTGGAATTGTTCCTGCAGTTTAAATCAATCAATTTTAAAGTGTCGGAGGTAGTGGTATGCAAACCATTTGTAGTGCATCTTACGAATTTGGAGTGTCTGTAGCCTAGAACAAAACTTAAAAACTTTGCTAATGTGTCACGGACGAGTGATTAGCTGCGTGAATATAGACCATCAGGAATTTCACGTTGCGGATTCATGCTGTGTGACCTTTCATATATTTTGAATTTTTTTAGAGAAAGACTCATGTTACTTCGTAGGTTATGTGCTATTGTTGGCGGATTGCTCATAGTTCACAAGTGTAACGTTATGAAAGAGACATTTTGGGAACTCATGGGTGTCTTCGAATCGAACTGAGTAAAGTGTGAAGAATGACGAATCTGTGACACACGAAGTGGAGGTAAAAGGGCTGTTACATCAGGGAATGAAGTAACCGAAATGAAAGTTGATACACAGATGCGATTTCTAATACAGGGGGTGAGATGGCCCAAGCGGTTAGAGCGCGAATTTACTGACCACAAGGTCCGTGGTTCGAACCCGACCTCTGCCCCTCGACTTCCCCTGTCTAGGTTTGGGCAACCTGGCAGTATCCCAGCCTTCGTGCAACCTTCAGGTGGCATGGCAGTTAGGCACCGAAAGGTTGCAACAGCTGAACAATTTATTCATTTTACAGGGTTTTAGAAAGCGGATTCTGATATTTTCCGCGGGTGCAACAGCTGAACAATTTATTTATTTTACAGGGTTTTAGAAAGCGGATTCGGATATTTTCCGTTTTCGTCGTATTAGGCGGTCTTTCACGATCCAGAACCAGCGAACAATTATTTCGGGCTATCCCTTGTACTACCGTCATTCCATCGATATCCATTATCCCATCGGACTGATTTTATCCTACAGAACGCAAAATCAGATGGATTTGGAGGTGTCGACAGGTAAATAATAAATAATATGGTAGTGAATCAGGTGTGACATCCTTTCGACCTTTAGCTGCTTTGCCACCCGAAAGAAGTACGAGGAATAAGGTACTGCCAGGTTGTCAAAGAGGAACAGTTCGGATGGCGTGGTTAGGATAGAACCGATTCACTCTTCCTGTCACTTAATCACCGATAGCCATGTCTTATTTGACACGCCAATGTATTCGCGGTGTGGGTTCTACAAGTCACGGGAAGATGATTCAGTGAGGTTTGTATGTAAGTTCGTCATCCTCAGCGTCTGGAGACCTAGCTGGAACTTCGTCAATTGCACATAGTAATGTCTTGGATGAGGATACCAAATGCATGGTCAAACGAGTAGTTATGGAGTGCTTTTACTTCTTGAATAACATTTCAGTGAAAACCCGTTTATTTGTAAAATCATCGGTACTGGTCGAGTTATCAGAATCGATTCACGGGAAAAACTGGAGTCGACACACCTGCGTAACAAACGCCAAATAGTCCTAGGGATAAACAAGTGAATAACACAATAGCAAGACACCTAGCCAACATTAGTGTGGTACGGGCATAGATTTGAACAATGTAACAATCGATATTCTGCCACAAAAAGGATTGATTTATTGATCGCATAATTTGGATGCAGCAGTAGAAGCTCACTGCGTCGGATGATTAGAATGAACAAACTGCTAGCCAAAACTGCAATGGGTGGGTCATCATCATCATCATCATCATCATCATCATCAATGACAGCAACATCAGTGTTGGCACTGATGCTTCACTGCCGTACTTGTACGAGGGCTGGGATACTGTCAGGGCGCCCACACCTAGACAGGGCAATGGGTGGGTAACACAACATGAATAACTCTGTAGTTCTAAAAGCGACGTATACGACACACTGCAGATGACGTTATCGTCGGAGTACTAAGATATCTTGGGGTACCTGCTTATTCCCTCACAAAGTCCGGATAATGTTGAATTCTGGAAATAAGCTGTCAGCTGATTGAAGATAAATTCAATCTGAAAAAGCGTTAGGATTCAGCCTGATTTAGAATTATGCAGGGCACTGATCAAGATCGTTTCCGATATCAACTGAAACAAAACGGAAAGGTTGGGGAAGACTGGTTATCGATGCTGTTCGTTATCGGAGTTTCGTGGCTAACGGGTAGATACATTTTTGCAACTGCTTTTGAAGGTCAGGCTATGCCGAACCAGAACAATGTATCTTAGCCAACCTCACGAATGTTAGTTGCCTACCCATTGTTGATTGTGAGTTAGTTTGAAGTCCCTCCGCTTGGCACAGCTCGGTTCTTTCAGTTTCAGTTTTCTCTATTAACTAATCCGGATCCGAGTGAGAGTGCCTTGTAAAAATGTGACGGAAAGCTCCGCTAGACTTTTGCTTCATCACTCTTTGCTTCTATTAGTGTACGTCATTGTTTCTCAAACAATCATGGCAGTGCCAGTCAGCAAATGACCACGTGATATGAACGTCGTGATTGACGGTTGGGTAGCGCTATATTGTGTCTAAGAGTTACAAACTCGCACTTGTGATCAGCCGCTTGCCACTAAACTGTACACTCTCCAAACCCTAGTTTGCGAGTTTGAATCTTCGGGGTGATTCTCGGGATATGCACAGTTGATGGTTCTCAGTAAGAATGAAATAGCTATACGGTGCTTCTAAACTTTTCTGCATAAGTTTACTGGACTTCCAGGACGAAATATCGACTGCAGTTTCCAAATCTCCTCATGCCAAGGAAAGGAACATCGAATTATGGAAAGTCTGTTCAAGCAAACGTGACTTGTCTACTTCAGCTTGAAGCACAGCTGTATAACAAGGAAGCATTTAACTAAAAGCCGCAACTGACATAGATTCGCTGTTACTTACCAATGACTGAATATCACCCAGATCCGCACTGTTGCCGTTGTTCACAAGGTCACTATTCACAGTATTCACTAATCTCGCCACACGGTTTGGAAGTATTCCTTCGGGGGAAACCTGGTCGTCATTTTGAGCGATAAGATGTTTTAATAGCCGGTCTTGTCGCCGAGAAAAGCTGTGCTCGATAAGGCTTGTTCTTCTTCTTGGAGCAGAACTTGTCGGTGGAATCTTGGCAACTGGGAAATCAAATGATGTTTGATACATAACTATCGATCACAAATTACAAATATTAAATACACACGCCAGCTCTAATCAAGATGCTCATTCTAGATATGAATTACCCAGCGTACTTATTAAGAGCTCCTGTAACTTAGATTATCGATAATGAACAAACGTCGATACACGATCAACCAGTTTCTGATACAGTATCTACACGTATCACTAGTATCTATTATCCCCTACATGGACCATGATACAGCTACACCGTCCTCACTAGTCAATAAATATCAACGACCGCGTAATAATATAGGAAATTCATATTTACCTCAAATC